ATATGGGCCTCCTGGTGGATGGCCTTGGTACTGCAGCAGCACTTCCGGTTTAATGAGGAGTCTGCCAGACAGGGTAACAGATGTCTGATTGTGTCGAGGCTGCCCCGGGCTTGCGACCTGGTTTGATTAATGAGAGGTTCTTCCTCAGGGAATAAGGCGACCTCTGTGCGCTATGATGTGGAAAATTTGAGTGTTAGGGTGGATGGACACCCAGTGTTGACGTAATTTTGGCACTGAGATCTAGTTACCTCCATGAAAATGGAGGTATTGTTTTTGGCGCGTCTGTGTGTGTGTGTTTGAGTTTCCGCATATTTGTAGTCAGCATAACTCCATAACGCCTTTATGGATTGTGATGATATTTGGTATGCTGGTAGGTCTTAGGAAGCCAAAGGTCAAGGTCAAATATGGGCCTCCTGGTGGATGACCTTGGTACTGCAGCAGAACTTCCGGTTTTTGTATCTTTTGTCCTGAACATGTTATGGTCTTGATTTTTGGGTGACAGATAGATTGTCCTGCCAGGAATAATTGGTGTGGGTTTGGTCCCCCTAGCAGCTTGTTCTGAAACTGCAGGGGACTTTCGGGGGGAAAATCTTTAAAAGCCAATAGGTCCAGACAGGAACAATGTATTTTCATCATTTTTGGTAGGTAGGTAGCTGAGAGAGATGTACATAACTTAATGCAAATTATGCAAATGAGGACTTAATTTGCATAATAAATGAGGAAATTCTCTAATTACAGTGTTTTACATTATAGTACTTTAATACATGTAATGTATGTAATCTTTGGCAGATGGAACATCAACAGATACCAATAATGCAAATTATGACCTCATTTGCATAATTAATGCGAAAATTCAATGGGTAAATGATGGGAATATCCTACTTGGTGTAAATTGTAAATTCATCAAAAGTTAACATCACGATACATTAATTATGTTAATGTGGAGGTCATTTGCATAATTAAAGAGGAAATTTACATTTACACGTCAAGCCCATATTTCATGGAGGTATGTGATCTCAGATCTCTTGTTTCTCTTTAGTATTGCATCTACCTGTATTTCTATCATCATGTATTACACTGAAACATATGCTGGCAGTAGTAACATACTTCCAGCATCTTTCACAATTCTTAAGTTCTAAAATGGGCACAGATGTTAGGTTCAGAATAGCCTGGAAAGGCTTTTCCTGACAGAGAGAACTACATCAAACCAGGTTGCCCCACATCAGCTTCCTGTTGCAGGAAGGTAGGGAGGATACAGATTCCCTGTCAAATTAGTCTGGAACATCTGTACTCTCATCCTAGTTACTGCACAAACTTTCATCCTTATCTGCCTACTGCAAGGGACACTTCTACATCTGGTATGCAACAACAAACAATGCCTGTCACTGAAAACTTCTACACTCATATCAACTGTTGGGTGTATTGTTGTGAGGGAAATCTGTTTGACAGAAACCTCCCTCAGCAACCTGGCTTTGCCACACAGACATCACCATCAACAAATTAACCTGACAGCACAGGATACAAATATTAGCAAAATATTTATGCCGCCATTTCCAAGAGGGTTGTTTTTCCTATGCTCATGCAAGTGAGCTGTCTGGTGGACAGAAAACAGCCCACTATCACATTTGACGTACTGGATCCCCGATGACAGAAACCACCAAGTTCAACCTCCAACAGCTTACAGCCGGGCAGACTAACACAAGCAAATCACCCAACCATAAGCAGTTTTATCTGGGTACAGGTAAACTTGACATAAATAAAGTCTGGGGGTGGTCTGGGCGTCAGGACTGGGAGTCGAACAGAGCTGTCAGATCTTGGTTGTTTGTAGCAACAACACTTTTTTCTACCAGACCGCTTTCTAAGAGTGTAGATGATCATTGGACTATATTTTCAAATTGCCTGGAAACATGTTTAATACATGCGTATGCCAGATCTTATTTATGATAAAGACAGCAGCTCTATTCAATAGCATGCAAGTTTAGTAACTACATGTAGTTTAGTCACTACACTACCCACCTGGTGCAAGTTAACTACTGGTAAACAACATAACAATGAAGTGCATACCTCCAGCATACTTGGGGACCCATCTGACGTAAGGCGGCAGGCCGTTGATGTTGAAGTGCTGCCCGTTAAACTTGGCACACTGCTCCTCACGGAAGTCCTTACTGCCAGGCGGGCACTCCTGCAACAGGGAAAAAAGTTTTTCACAGAGACTGGTCATGTAATTTCCATATGCAAAGGTTAAGTGTAATATAACCAGCTGCTGCCACACCACATGCCTGTAAAGCTGATGTGATTTGCCAAAGGGCAGTTATACAGGCTATACAGATAAAAACTGCTAGAGATAATGCCTGAAGTTAAACCAACAGGTGCTTCTTGAAGGTCATCAGGTCAGTTGGCTTGAGGGGAAGAATACTGTATATAAGGAGGCACAGACTTCTTATTAGAGTGAGAATGTGGTAATGACACTAAATCATAATTATATCCTTACTCTACTGTCAACACCTGTTCACCATGCAAAGGCAGTATAACTGGTGCAAGGAGGTGGCTTGCTATATTACATTGAACTGGGCCGTATGTTCCAACAGCTTGATGTTCCAACATACATGTAGGATTACACTAAGGGTTGTTGGGACATATGTTGAGATGTCAGAACATAGGGATGTTGAGACATAGAGGTGTAAGTCATTGAACGGCTTGTCACACTGAACCTCTATAAAATAAAGACCATGAATGATTCTGGATTGATGATATAGTAATTTGAAATCACGTCTATTTCTGCGACCTTATCAGCAGCTATTCCTGCTTGGTATTACCTCACGTCTGCTCAGGAAATCAGGCCCAGGCTCCAACCCCAGGCTGCCATCCCCACACAAGCACTGATTGATGAAACATTCTGATCATTTAGGAGGGAAAATGGGCAGTTCCATAACAGGGAGCACCTGCCATGCAGACCTATCAACTCTGCATGCACCGAGGACTTGTCTGTAGGGGAGGGGGGCAAAAATTGTAGTTGTGACCTTAAATGTTCAATCTTGCAGGAGGGGGGCGTCAGTAATGCTCGTGACCTTCAAGCATATCTGCAGAGGGTGTGGAGGCAATGGGTTTACCTGTAACCTATAGAAATGTTCAAGGGAGGGGAGGACAATCAAATGTCTCACCTTGGTGTTGCAGGACCTGAACTTCATCCTGCGTCCCAGACAGAACTTGCCCCCATTCAATGGCCTGCAAAAGACAATTCACAACTGTCAAGTCCAAACATTCAGCAACATACATACTGACAAAAAAAAAGTATAATGTATGTTTCCATGTGCATACATCTCATCCTGAATTTGTTCTATCCCGTAATCCACTTCAGCCATGGAGGTTTGATGGCAGATAAAATAATGTTACATTATCTGGAAATTACAGTTGAAACAAGTCCCTTTAACATTTGGAAAATGACTTTTTTAATTGAAAGTAGGTGGTGTTGCTTCGTGATTGTTGCAGAGGTTGAGTGCGGCCTTGACCTTGATGAGTGGTAATGACCTTGAAGTTGAACCTGCCACCCTAAACAATGGTTTGTTGTTGTCTCAAGGAGGATATCAATCCAGGCTAAGAAAAACACCCCAACCTTGAGCTCAGGCTTGTTAGAAAACCTTTCCATCTGGGTTAGACAATCTCCCGCTGAGACTTACAAATTCCACTTGACATTGACAATAAGAACTTGGAGGTTGACCAGCAGACGGCCAGCCAAGGTCGGAGTGTTGTTCTCCTTTGTCCTTGGTGATTTTTGTGAGTGATTATTTCCGTCCACCCTAGTTAGGAAGGCTGTAGCTAGTGCAAGGCTTCAGGTGGGAGGATGCTATTCTTGGCTAGCTGACTTTTAGTGAGCATCAGTCAAATCAAGTCAAGTCAGTCAAAGTTTGTCAGGTGGACTGAGGCAAAACACAGATCTAGTCAGACTGTTCTTTGGTTCTCTGAGTCAAGAGCAACATAAACAATACTCTCTTTCAAAAATCTTCATGATGAAACTGTCAACATATTCATTCTACAGCTCCAGTTGGGATTGGTTTCAATACTGCTAAACATTTTGCAAAAGAAAAAAAAATGTATCACCAAGAAGGTTGACCTTGCTTTGTCTCAAAGTTTCATTATGATTTAGAAAGTCTCTACATGTACATTGTAGTTGTGTTCCTGTAAGCATTCCCGTGCATAAATTGCTGCATAGTGTGAAGTAACTGGTTGAGCACCCTACCTGAGGGGCATCCTTGTCCAAAATTGTGATCTTCAAGAAAGTTAGTCAGTAGCAGCATGTAAAACATGGCAGCAAGACTGTGATGTAGAAAGTCACTACACTCATCATGATATACCATCGTCATGATGATATTTCAGTCTATTGATACATTGTATAGAGCTCTAGATAATGTTTAAATAAGTACTATTAAAGTCCAGAGGAATAAAGGAAAGGTAAATATTTTCAACCTTCAAATAGGCAAATTATTTTTGCCCAAATGCTCCAAAAACAACAGTGCGGAAGGCTAATCACTGCAAGGTGTTCCACTGAACTCTTTCAATCAAACAAGACGTTTGTTGTTTCAAGCATGACTTCCACTCATTCTTGGATTTCAGAAAGGAAAACAGGAATTACTTGTTTGTCAAGGCTTATCCTTTGTTTAGTAAAAACTAAGTAAAGACATAGCAGTGTGATTATAAAGAATGTACCACGAGTTGGTATATTTTTTAATCACATCACGTGATACATTCCAGGAACAGGTGAATGACAGAGTGCACAATGTTCATCATTACTGCATTAGAATCCCATCATGCAACACCCCTATAGATAGATATGCTACAAGATAGTAAGCTGCTTCACAGTTTTAAACTGTGCATGTGCAAGGTCAAAGGTGAAAACCCCTAACTAGTAAATAGCTGAAGAGTACATGTCCAGACTTTGTGTTATTTCTCGGGGGCCTTCAATTTTGAGATTACCGCAGTGCATTACAATAATTGTGCAAGCATGTAGTTTGAACTGGCTTATTGACAGATGGTGCTTTTATTTGCAAAATTATTTATACAGAAAAGACTTATAATTTGCCTTTCTTTATCTTTTCCTAGTTTCCTGTTTGATGGACAAACTCCTCCTTTTATAATTGGATTGTTGCTGTATGATTGATGTTTGCATGTCACTGCATCAGGAAAATATGGGTTACCGAGACAGGGATCTGCCTGGGAAGGTCAGGATGAAAGTATTTTTGTGAGATGATGAATAGAACCATGACAGGGAGAGGTCAAGTTAGGGCATCCTGCATCAAGCCTTGTTAACAAGATGCAGGCTTGTGCCATTAAATTCCTCAATCAAATTCGATGAATGAGGAAAGAAAATTATGCCAGACTTTTTGTTGGCTGAGTTCCTTATAAAGGACAGCTACAAAAAGAATTTGGCAATTTCTAAATTTGAAAGGGTCACTCATAACTTGTACGGCCTTGGTGAGCAAGGCAAAACTGTCCAGATATCTGTCTGGACTAAGAATCAGCCCTGCCTGTCCCATTTCTCACCTGGGGTTGTTGCACTCCCGAGTGGCATACTTCACCCCACCCCCACACGTCCTGGAACAGGACCCGTACTTGGACCACGGCCCCCAGCCTCCGTCTATCGCCTTCAGCTTCGACCGCGCAGACACGCAGTCTCCCTGGAGGCAGAACTGCAGGAAGAAATATAGCAAATTCAGAATTTTATCATTTAGATTCTACAGTCACTGATGAAGGATAAAGGTTGCTAGCTGAAACATCTGACTCTTTAGAGAACCTATCCAATTGCTTGTTTTATTGCAAGTTCACAAAAAAGTTCTGTAGTCATTGACATTGAACATTAAGAAGAACTATTATCAGGAGCTGAATTTTGACAAATTACTGAGTGACATCCCGTGTAATTATGACACCCTGAATTTGCCTGTACTTTCGAAATAAAGTACATTATCTTTAATTACAATAATTTATATAGCTGCTGATTAGAATGTGGCCAAACGTAGTGGCAATTCATGGCCGAGACATCCCATCTGCCCAGTGTTCATCACAAATCAGTGAGAAGAAATGGCCTGGTGAAACTTCTCAAGCTTCCTTTTTTCTCCTTTTTTGATAGAACTGGGTCACGCTCAGCTTTTAACACCCTAACCCTCAGATGATCTGAAGAAATTCCCACACAGTGTTGACTCTTTATGATAAGGTATCATACTGATGACATCCCAACAAAACACAGGCCTTCAGTAGTAACAGAGATTCTTGTTCACCCCAGCTTGATGATTCTCTCGTATAACAAATTACCTTTTTCTCATAAACAAAGTTCGGGAGTGACTGTGGCTTATTGGTTTCTGAATGAATGAGCAGCTGTTGAAAAGCACAAGTTGTTTTATGAGGTTCTTACAAAGACCACAGCCTGGGTGATGTTCTCACCACTGGACAAGTAATTAAAGATGACCCGACAGGGACTCTTCCAACCTCTATATAGATGACCTGCTGATAAAGTTGTTGTAAATGCGGCGCCTCTTTTGAAACACTGCACTTACTGGACAATTTTAAAATATAGTTGTCTACACTAACTTTAATGTGAAACCTCGAATCTGGTTTACCATGGGAGTGTGACATCAAAAACATTGTTTTTTATACACAGGAGCTGACAGCATCACACAAACACAGGCAGAAGTGAAAGGTTAAATGGGACTGGGGCGTAATTAATCATCATTACTAGGCTGTTACACCCAAATGGTTCCAATATTACTCCAATTTTGCAACAGTACTGTACCTGTCAAGTGTCAAGTTGAATTTTTTCAGATCAATGGACCATTCATAAATTGTACAATGTCAGTATTGTATAAAACTCAACAATGCCTATAATGTCAGTGCCTGACATTTCGTAACTTAATATCACACAAATATAGTAAAGACTCATGATTGCTATATCTACATGTAGACCCTGACTGTAAGGCTCACCAGCTGGATAACAGACTGTCTGACACAGGTGAACTGAACATTGGACGAAAACACAGAATTTGGAAAACTCTGCCATTGCTTTCCTTCCAATCATGCACAAAGATTTACAGAGGGTTACTGTGGGGATGTGAGCCCGGTGCAGACTGCTTCCATATCCTTACATGTACATCACTTCTGATAACACAGCTCCATTCTTATCTCAGCAGTACCTTCTAAATCATCAGATCTATCATTAATGCTGCATGATAAAGTAGGGACTTCTATACTAGATTAGGTTTACCACAAGGATTGGAGTTTAATATACAGTGCTTAGGTGTGATAAGTGGTTCCATGTAATGTAACCAGGTGCCAAAGAGGCTGACCTGTTGAGCTAAATTAAAGGTCAGTCATTATCAGCTCATTATTACATGTACATACCATCTCTGAATGACAGGCCAAAGCTCACTAATACACTGACATATTCAGGGGGAATAGTATGATAATAGATATTCACCAGTTAAGTAACTTAATCAAATTCTCCTCCAATTTCAATATTGTCAGTTCCATCTTAGGACATCTGAAATCACCATGGTAACCACCCAGGGTTCACCTCTCTCTGCTGGAGGTTACAGCTGGGTCAAAGGCCAGGTCATTACTTAGTCTACTGGACAGCCAGATGTGAGGCTTTCTGATCTGCCATACAGGCCTCAGTTTTCCTATCATAAATTAAGATAAGGACCCAGCTTATGATACACTTCAATATAAACACCCCTCTAGTCACAATATCCTGAAGGAAACGTGTGAAGGAACTTGTTTTCTTATGTGTACACGCAAGTGACGGATATTATACATCAGATAAGGCCATGCCAAGGGCAAGCTCTGCCAGAAAATAACAGCAGAATTGCCTAAATAGGGTGAAATACTTGCCAGCAGAGGTCTGTATCCTACTAGAGAGGAAATTCAGTTAGCCTGGATTCAAGAAAGCTTCCAGGGCCAACACAGGCCATTTTCTATGCCACAGGACTAACATACCACGATGGAATTTTGCCATAGCCCCCAACTTATTGACCCTCTTGAGGCAAGTTTCTACTATTCTTTCAGCAGTTTGTTAGAATCTAAGCTCAGAACAACCTTCCCTATGTATAGTATCTCCACCCTACCCCCTCTGGTCACATAATAACACGGGAAACAGTGTAAGGAAACCTGGTCACATGTGACGGAAATTAAAAACGTCCTGACAGTCTTTCTTTGGTGACCTTGAAGCTTGAAACCTTCCATTTGGTGGCCGAAGAGACCTTTGGTAAGCAAACATACAAAAACTTTGTCAACAATAATAAACTTGAGGATCTGACAAGACCACAACTTCCTCATGAGTTCCTAGTCTATTACAAACTAGGAAAGCTATTTTCATTTCTTTCTAGTAGCAGCAGTGATTTCTAGTTCTATTATCTGTAATATCTTTGAAATCTTAAAATCTAAATGGGAAGAAACACCTAATTGAGTCGTGGTCTATCCTACACACTTAACACATCTAATGTCTATCACGACATACCATACCGTAATCCAGATAATTATTAAGTGGTGTTAACACCCCTGTCCCCAGAGTGATTGGTATCTCCCGGGCTGCTTCCTACTGAATCCTGTCAGGGTGGGAAGGGGTGGGGTGACTCAATGCTTTATGGGAATTTAGGCTTGTTACAAAATGGCCGCCAAGCAAGATGGCGGCTCATGAAGTACATGTTGGAAAACAGATCACAGTTCACCAGGATGACCACGTAAGACTACATACCAGGTACGTACAGACGTAGGATACATTGGTGCTTCATCTTTCATGTGACTTGTACTTATAGAAGAGCCAATTGCCCTGTTTCTGAACCTTTCGTCCTGGGAAACTGCAGTTTGTGCCCTCCGACGACATTAAAATTTGATCTGTGATAGTATGGTAGTTCGAAATCGCATTTGAAGTACTGATTTAATTACTACTATATGGGCCCTTTTAACACTGAAAACCTGAAAATAATCGGTGGAACCGATGTCGAGAAATTGAATCCACAATGTATTTGCCCCCCTCCCACCCACTGAACAAAGTGTGTTTACTTCAAGCGCTGGCATAAATTCAAAAATATGACACGATCTTTTTGAAAGTAGGGTAAAACTTCAATACATATATCAAACCAACATATTCCGGAATATGAAAGAAATCAGGACTTTTGATCCAGAAATAGAGACTGTCAAAGTTGCTTCAAATTTGGGCAGCCATTTTGTTTACACCATGTGAACTTCAAGCACTGGCATAAATTATAAAACTTCAACTGATGTTCTGCAAAGTGAAATCAAACATGACTACATACATCACTCCAACACATTCTGGAATATGAAGGAGATGCCAACTTCTTATTTAGAAATATAGACTGTCAAACTTACCTAAAATTTAGTCAGCCATGTTGTTTACAGTGTGTGAACTTTAAGTGCTGGCATAAATTCAAAAAAATCAACTAATCTTGTTTAAAATGACATGAAACACAGTAAAATATATCCCCCCCAAACTATTCCAGGATATGGAAGAGATCCAGGTATTTGATGAAGAAATATACACTGTCAAAAGTTACCTAACATTTTGGTGGCCATCTTGTTTACATTCCCCAACTTCAAGTGCTGGCATAAATTTAAAAAAATCAACTGATCTTCTTTAAAGTCAAATAAAACTTAAGTACATATACCCCCTTAAATTATATCAGGATGTTGAACAGATCTGTCTATATAATCTAGAAATATTAATTTTCAAAGTTACCTAACATTTTGGCGGCCATCTTGTTTACATTCCTCAACTTCAAGTGCTGGCATAAATTTAAAAAAATCAACTGATCTTCTTCAAAGTCAAGTTAAACATAACTACATATACCCCCTTAAATTATTTTGGGATATTGAAGAGATCTATTCATTTGATCCAGAAATATAGATTTCAAACTGACTAACATTTGCTTAAATTGGGCAGCCATCTTGTTTACTAAGTGCTGGCATAAATTCAAATACATGAACTTATCTTGTTGAAAGTAAAATGAAACTTAACTACTTATATCACTCCCACATATTCTGGAATATCAAAGTGATCATGACTGTTGATCCAGATATATAGACTGTCAAAGTTGCTTAATATTTTGTCAGCCATATTGTTTACAGTGTGTGAACATCATGTGCTGGCATAATTTTAAACATATAGAATGATCTTCTTCAAAGTCAAATGAAACATAACTACATATCTCCTGTCACACCATTGCAGGATATAGAAAAAGATCCTTTCATTTGATCCAGAAATATAGACTCTCAAACTTCCCAACATTTTGTCAGCCATATTGTTTACAGTATGGGAATTTCAAGTACTGGCATACATTTCAATACCACAACAGATTTCTTTAAAAGTCAAATGAAACAAAAGTACATATGTAAGTCCAACATATTGCAGGATATTGAGAATGTACATGTTTTGATAAAGAATTATAGACTATCAAACATGTTCAAAATTTTGTCATCCATATTGTTCACACTCAAAACTGCTTTGGGTGTCAACCATAAGCCTAGGGAGAAATTCTCAGAGAAATAAAGGATCTTTTCCCAAATAAAGTACAATTGTAGAACATATACACCTCTAACATATGTTGTAATTTCAAAGAGATACATGCCTATCAACCAGAATCATTTGCACACAAGAATGATACACCTAGTATTATTCATACAT